GCATATATATATATATATATAAAATGGATAGAATACAAAATATTGTGTAGAAACAAAATAGCGATTTTTATTTGCTGCTTATTGGTAGTATAGAATAAAAAGTATATAATTTTGTTTTCTAGAACAGTAATAAATTAAAAATAAATCCTTTCTAAAACTTTTATTAAAACATATAAAACATACCATATCGGAACTTCGAGATTGTAACTTCTTTTGAATTTTGATCAAGATTATATCCTAACAAAATTTTCTTCTTTTTACAGTTGTCAATGATGTTGAATGGTATGTACGCATGCAGTGCTGCTATAATAAACAATAATTGGGCTGTAACAGCAGCCCATTGTATAACAGCGTGAGTAAGAGAATAGATTCAGAAATAGTAATTTCTAAAATCTTTACTATATAATTACATATAAGAACATATATATTTTTATTTTACTAATAGATATAATATATCACAGAGTTAATGATCCTCGTAAAGAAATCACCGTATACAGTGGATCCTCCATTCTCTACAAGAATTGCGTCGCTCATAATATTGTTAATTTTTTTATACATGAAAATTACGATAGCATGATCAACGACTATGATATTGCTGTTATCAAAGTAACACCTACGTTCACATACAATAGTTTTACGAAAGCAGTTGGCTTGGCTCTAGATAACGCCGAAAATGTCTTTACAGAATGGGGAATAGTTTGCGGTTGGGGATATTATTTGGTAAATAGGAATTATTATAACAATATAACGCTATATCAATATTGTATAATAATACCATTTTCTCTCTTTTTGAAGTTTGCTTATATATATGTGAAAAAAAAATAATTTTTATGAAATTTACACAGAAATTTGATGATGATAATATTGATCCAATTCTGCCCAAAACTCTGAAATGTATCATAATACCGTTAATAGAAAGAGAGTCATGTTGCGAAGATTATAAAGATAGATATGTAATAACACCACGAATGTCATGTTATGGATATCAGGATGGAGTCGAAGATGCTTGTAAAGTAAGACTTAAATTAAGCTATAACTTCTGTTATACAGAGTGATTCTAAATAAGTGCGAAACATTTTAGGAGATGATTCTTTCTCTCGACAATTAAGGGGAGTCTTTCATATAAATTTTCATATAAATACTCCTATATTCCTGAGAAATTATACTTCTTCAAAGAAGTAGGTAAAAATTATTTTTTTTTCAACATTTATTATAATTTTGTGTTGTTTTTGTTCCATTTTTTCCAATATTTACTATAATTTTGTTTTGCTTGTTTTTTTTTATTCTAAAATTCTTGTAACTTGAAAACTATGTTACTTAGCATCGTGCTGTGCATAATAATGTATTTTATTTTTATTTCTTGAAAACTATTGATTTTACAAAAAAAAAAAATAAAAGGAATAAAAAAGTTTCTAAAGAAATAAAGTTTTCTAACGCATATTTTTAGATGATCACATTCAGACCCATTAAAAAGTTCTAATAAAAAATTGAATAGGGGTTGCTAATTTTATCTTCTTATAACAATAGGAGGATTAAAAAAATATTAATAAGTATCCTTTTAACTAATGGAAAATGTTCACCAAATTTCATTTTTTAACTTGTCCTAAATTTGAGAAAACAGATAAAAACCTAATTTTTACCTCCTTCTTTGGAGAGGTATAACTTCTCAGGGAGAGATATAGGAGTATATGTTTATATGAAAGACCTCGTTCACCAAATTTCATTTTTTAACTTGTCCTATAAATTTGAGAAAACAGATAAAAACCTAATTTTTACCTCCTTCTTTGGAGAGGTATAACTTCTCAGGGAGAGATATAGGAGTATATGTTTATATGAAAGACCTCCTTTAATTTTCGACAAAGAATCATCTCCTAAAATTTTTCGCACTTTTTTAGAATTATTCTGTATATTAATTATTATTATTAATACAAATAGGGTGATTCTGGAGCAGCGCTAGTTAATAAGAATGGTATTCTGCTCGGTGTAACTTCATGGGGAGACGGTTGCGCCGAAAAATATTCACCCGGGGTATACACCAATGCTATATATCTTCGACATTGGATTAAAAATAAAACTGAAATGGATATTTCAGATAGTTATTACCATAGGTATGTATGTGTTTTGCAATATAATGCAAATTGTATCAAATTTATGTCTAATTCACACAATTAAGAAAAGTATTGTGTTATCACGTTTGATTAAAAGACACATTCAATGATACAGTATTCTATTACTTTTTCAAAGAAAAATAATAAAAGCGTCGAGTTTAAAGTCCATTCAAAAGAAATTGTTATACAAAAAATATTATTTTAATGTATATTTTATTGGTTAAATCTTTATTACTTTTTCTACAAACATGATACTAGAAAATTGAGCCAAATAAAAATAAGAATCATACATAGAGAATTTAATTCTTTTATTATTATGTTTTAATAATAAAATTGTTTTATTAAATAAAGTGCAATATGATTAAAAAAATTTAATAAAATTTAATAAAATAATTTTAATATTGAAACATATTAAGGGGACTAGGCAGTCCAAAATTTATGTCAAAATTCGGAAAATTGCGGCAGCCGAAAAGGTCAAGCAGCGCACAAACTCGTTTTCGCTCGAACACAGATAGTCTTAATCTGATAATAATTATTCTTATATAAATAATCTTAATCTTGAATATGAAATAATCGATTTTTTCTTGTTTTTAATTATGATTGCTTCATTTGTTGTGTGTAAAACGTGTGGTGAAAATACTATGCTGCTGGAAATCATTAGATAAAAGATGTATCAATAATCATACTTTAAAATTTTTCAAAACTTTGAACACCTTCTTTTCTGTTTTTTATTTTCTTTCCGTTTTGCATTGATAACTCAAATACAGAGACTCAAATCGACTTAAAAAAAATTAAGCATGTTTACAATATGTATAATTTCGGACTGAACCTCTAAAAAGTCTGTGCAAACTCTAGTTTTTGAAAAAAAATTAAATAGCACTTTTTTTCGAAAAACAAACTTTTTAAAAATATCACCATTTTATAACCGCTATTTTAATAATTTTGTTCTAATATTTTTTTTACAGCTTCAGTGCGGAACCAGATGTATTTTAAAGGATAATTTACAAGGAAGTCGCTGTATCTTTTTACTTTAAGTCAAAATTACTGCAAAACGAAAAAAAACTTATTTAAAAATTCTCTTCGATCCGGGCCATTTTTAATGCATATTTTCAACTAAAAAGAATTTTTTTTTATAGTTTATGATCCTAATAAACATTTTGTTAAAGAACAAATCTTGATTTCAATTCTCGATTTCATTTCTTTGTAATAAATTCTCCCCATAAAGCTTCATTTTCGACAAATCTGATTGCTTAGTCCCCTTAATAAAAGAATTAAATTCTACACTGCATAATTTTTGCATTTTCATTTTTAATTGGTGCAATTTTCTCTGATATTATTTTTGTAAAAGGGAACAATAAAGATTTAATCAACAAAGATATAAACAATGAAATATATATTAATGTAATTTTTTGCACAAACGCATAAACTTGGTATTTTTTTACATTTTTTAGAAAAAGTCATTTTTTAACAATTATACAGAAGCAAGCAAACGTTACAAGTTAATATCGAGAAAAGATTGGTTGTAGAAAAAAAAGTTTGAGAGGAAAACTGTTTGGTATCAAAGGAAACGTATGATAATTAGATATGCTAAGGTCAGATCAAGATTATTTCCATTTTTTAAATGGAAACATATGGATTTTTTACGCAGTCTTATAACCGTTAGTGACGTGAGACGAATCTAACGACCTATAATATAAGGCCATTCAAGGTCATTTCAAGGTCACAAATGAAGTTTATCGGATGTTTGCAAAAATGTATTGACGTCGATAGTGGACATTTTGAACATCTATTAAAATGAATAAACAATATTAACATAAATAAAATAATATTGTATTAAGATTTACTGATCATGTTATGTCATTCTAACGTAATTTTGGAGCATAAGATTATCTGAAGGTTACATTGTTATACATGGTTGAACGCTTTTCAGAATCAATTAGAAACTACTCATCTACCTAAAACCATATGATTCCATTAAAAAAAATATCGATGACTTTGAAATAATCTTCAAAATGACTTTTATATGATTTTTTAATTTTATCATCGTGTCTTCCCCTTTGAACCATACAACTTCTTCCTTAACTATTTTTTTGTATCTGTAAAAATAACGGATTTATTTAGGATATAAGAGTTAAATGACACTACATACATATACATGCGCGCGCGTGCGCACACACACACATTGTATATATGTATATATATAAAATATATATATATGTATACATATAATATATTTAAAATTAAATTTTCCAAGCTAGCAAGGTTCTCTTGTAAGAAGCTATGTAACTGTATCTTATAGTATCAATTATTAATTGCCTGTCATTTGAAGAGTCATGCACTGTGTTGAATTTTATTTATTTTTTAATATTTTCAAAAACGTTACACTTTTTATTCAATCTTATTTTACACATAAAAAAATATCTTAAAGAAAAGATCTATTACTGTATTTGTTTTTATAATTTATAGGACAAAAATATGCAGCTTGTTTAAATAAAAAGATTTTAAAATGTGTTCAGCTATGCGCGTAATATACACAATACGCAATAAATATATAATACTTTAAAAAGTAACTATTTCTTGTATTCTCTCTCTTTCTTCAAATCATTTAATACTTAAAGCATTGTAAAAACACATTGCGACTTTTGTTTAATATATAGAATGCATTATTTATATTATAGTATCTTGAAAAATATTATAATTATATTGTATTAAAGTTCACCTAAATTGATATTTGAATAATATTTGCAAGTTTAAAAAAAAAGTTTTAAAAAAAAGTTTAATTATTTTCTTTTCGAATTGACATATATTTCACTATATTGCTGTGTGTATGTATATACGCGCGCATGTGCGTATTAGTGTCCGACTAAAACCGCTTCTTTTAGTTTCGGCCGAAACCGGAACTTTTGAAAGAGTCTTACAAAAGCTCTATTAAAATTAACGATTTAAAAAATATCGTTAGAAAGTGAAACTCGTGTATACTTTTAAAATAAGATTTTATTAAATATTTTATTAAAGTATAAAAATATTCTTCAAGTACCCAAACAATATTATGAAATAATATACTATAAAGCATTATAATATTATAATATTATGATATTATTTATTAATTATATCATATTATTATTAATTATATTATCCTCGACTTTTAAAGTTACAAAAACAAATTTATAAGTTTATTCTTAAGTTGTCTTTACTTGAATCTAATAATTAAACTTGAACGATTTTATACTATAACATAAAAATAAAAGTTTCTCGGCCTTTTGACCCAATTGATTATTGTGTCTGTTCGCATAAATTTACCCAGCAGAGCTAAATAGCTGTTCGCTTGCCACACTAGTCGGCGAAGCTGACAAAAACTTCGTTGTAGCTTTCTATAATTGTGACTACAGTTTCGGCTCACGTCGCCGAAATTTTCTCTCAATTTTGGCCGAAACCGAAATTAAATCGAAACCCTGATTTTTGATCGAAATTGGCCGTAACCGAAAACAAAACCGAAATTTCGGTCGGATTTTATATATATACGAATAGTTTTCAAATTTATAATTTTATATAATTTTTATGTTTATATCCATGTATGCAGACGCAAAAAGTAAAGAATATGACTATTAAAGAAGTAAGTTGCCCCACCTCTCAATTGTAACTATTGCTGGTTGTGCTTCTCTTCTTAAGCTACTATTCACGTATTCAGTGTGAGATCAGTGTCAGACCGTCAATCAGTGCGTTCAGACGGTAGAGCTCCGTCTTGCGTAGTGTTATACTATTTTGTGAGGCCTGTCGCGCCAACCGAGGAAGAACGGTATTTTCGGTGTTTTGCGCTCGAACCACATCTCCTAAGATATTTCGAGGTGAGTCAATAGAAGATGGCAAGTCAAACGAGCAACCGGCTGCCGAACACGTGCGCGTTTGTGCTTGCGTCGTCAACGCACCATTTAGAATCGCATAAATAGGGTAATAAATAATAACGACAAATTTTATATATCATATTTATTCGAATAGAAATGACAGAAATTTTATATATTATATTTATCAATCAAAAATAGATTTATCCCAGCGAATGATTAAATGCTAATTTATAAATTGACATTAAATAAATGATAATTTATTACATCTTAATATTTAATATTAAATATTTTAGTAACTAAATCACAAATTAAAATTATGTCAAAATATAAATTAAATGGAAAGAAAATAAGGTTTTGTTGTCATTCTAAATGTAAATACGCCACTGATACATACGAATTAATATTGCAATTTATATGTATTTTATTTTATATAAAATTAAAGCTATAAAAGATACAGACAAATCCACAGAAAATTGTTATATATTTAGAAATAATTAATTTCTCTAAATTAATTCCTAAAAGATGGGTGGCGATAAGGGCCTCAATCGGCCCTAGTTATTTTTGTTTTATTTTTGTTATAAATTGATAGTATTACTAGTAACATTAATAAATATATAAGTTGTATTGAAATATTTACTTTTTATTTACAGCAATAAAAACATGATTTAGACATTTTCTATCCTTCTCAATAACTACTTAAACAAGACTGCAGTGGAATAATATTGATACATCCATAAAACAAATAAATAATGACATCAAGATAAATGAGATAGTTTGTCTCTTTAAATAACACTCGCAACAAAACATAAAACAGACCGTATCTTGTGCTGTGAGTGTGGGATAGATTTGTTTAAGTTTATTTTTTACTATCTGCGCATTGCAATACTACTACCAATTTTACGTATGTCTTATGTAATCATATATGTGTAAAAATCTTTGTGGTACACAAATAGGCTCTATAAAAAAACTGCGATTAAATGTTACAAAAATATGATTTTTTATGATTGTTGACTGTCAGACCCAAGTTCGCAGTATATTTAATGGATGGTGCCGAAATAAAAAAATATTTTTATACTTCCTAAGAGTCCATATCTTCTATATTTACTAAGATATGAAAAAAATTGATCCTGCATATTTAAGAGAAAGCAATATTTTGGAAACAACTTGGGGCCTTTATTGCTGTTCATCCTTTTTAAGTGAAATTTCTAAATTTCTAAACTAATAAATTTCTAAATATTTAAATTATGAACATACACAGAACTGTTTTTTATTTTGATACATTGATATTTTTTGTACTCGTATTTTACTATTTTAATTAAATTAAATAAGAATATTTTTTTAGAATATTGTTGTAAATAATGATAACAAATGTTATATAATTAAATTTTTTTTTCTTATTGTATTTATTATTTATTAACATTTATAATAGTATTAAAGAAATCACATCACATTAAGAAAAGAGTTGTATTATAAATATTAGCAAGAAGAGTCACATGATGATTTTATTTCAATACAGTTAGTATTAAATTATTATTGCTATTATTAAATTTGTATTGTTTTTATAAAAAAATATTTTTATATTTATATATATCCGATTTAGATACATACATTTAGTCATTTTTTATATATGTTCTTACATAGAAAAAAGAAGAGAGAAGAATTATGATAAATACAATTAAATTTTCTTTTATTGATATTTTTTTATTAAAACTTTACAACTATTATTATTTTTAAAATGAAAAATTTTTCTTTGTTACATATTTTTTATTATACATATAAAGATAAATTCAGGTTAAATAATATGCACATGTGATCAAATATAATACTCTCTTCCCTTTCCTCTCTCTCTTTCTCTCTTCTTCTCTCTTTCTATGGGTCTATTGTAATACTTTTGGCATTAGAATTCTATTAATGAGATTTACGTTTTTCTGTAATACATTTTTTTTTTAAATCGTATTTTGTAAGCTTTGTGTTATTAATTATGTGTTCTCCGGATATTTTTGGCAATATAATATAAAGAATAAAAGAAGCAGGAAGAAATGTTATTATACCACAGAATAAAGAATTTAAATTATGACAAACAATTACCTCAGCAGTGCAATAACAGACACGGGGGAAAAATAAAATAACAAATATAAAAAAATTGACATATTATATACTAATAAAAAAAATTATTAAATTTTCAGTATATATTTAATTAATTCAATTACTTACGTTGTAGAGAAAGTTAGTGAACATATAATGCTATAATAATTTTATAATAATGCTATAATAATGCTATAATAATCTTTAGATTATCAGAAAAATGTTCTAAAATGTCGATTTGTTAAAAAAATTAATATCGTTTTGCAATGTCTTTTTCATAACAGAATTTTGTTCTCATAATATTTTTTTCTTGTGCAGCTTCCAAAATATTTATCATTATCATAACAAGAATAATTCCTTTTTTCAAAATTTAAATATAATCTTGTAATATACAGGATGTTCCATGAAGATCTAAACGGATTTATATTGTTAAAACAATTCGAGAAAGAAAATTATAAGGCAAAATTAAATAATTTTACACGCTTATAATGGTTTTATATTCTTATGTAACTTTTATGCATTTTTATACATAGATGCAATTGCAAAGTACAATTGCACTTTTTTTTATACTGTTCTTCATATTTTTACGTATATCAGTTGACGTAATTTTTATCTTTCTAGAAAAAACTATTACAAAATTATTAGTTTAAAAGTCTAAAAAATTTTTGGTTTAGAAGTTATTTTAATTTTAGAAAAAAAATATAAAAAATATCGAGAAATTTGGTTATACACTTCGTTTTGCAACTACCAAAATCGCAATTTTTAATATTTGTTAATTCAACAAGCGGCAAAATGCTTTTAAAAGATTTGCCTATGAAAATTAGAATCTATAAATCTATTTTTTGATTATTTTAAAAGTATTCATTTATAAGAGAATATTTACATAAATAAAAAATTCATAAATCCCAAGCATACATTAGAAATAATCATAATACATATGTTACTTCCTTAACATATACACACATTAGAGGCTTATACAGAATACTTTATAGAGAATAAATTCGCTCAAATATAATATAAAATATTGCATGAATGGCACATAATAAATGGGGATCAATAATAATTTATGATTTGATTTGATTGGTAGCATTTGTCAATAATTATTTATAATTTGCTGTGGTTTTTAATGTTTTTTGGCTTATATATTTTTAGTGATTTATTCAATTAAGTAATTTTTTCAATGGTAGATAAAAGTGAAAGTATTATAACATTTAAATAACAAAAAATAAAAAAAACAGTTAATATTCATATGTTAACTTTTGTTTCCGAGATTTAAATAATCTATGTAGTTAACTGGAAATTGATAATTTTAAATAATTGAGTATAAATTACAAATAATTGACAAACGGTGATCAAATCAGTTAAAACCAAGAACCTGATTAGTTACAGAATTTATTAATTATTATTAATATTCATGGAGATACCTTATAATTGCTTGATTAAATAATATATTTAATTAAGTAAGGCAGTAATCTTCAAATCTCAATAAGTAATTATCTCAAAAATATTTTATTATATTGCCATATTTTTCTTTCTAAATAAAATGATTTTTGCATAAATATTTTTATATTTTCAATGGTTTCACGTGAATAACTGAGAACATATATTTATACCGGACATGTTATATATGCAAATAATTTATTATTATTTTCCGAGATGTTAAATGTATATTATTTATAAAATAAAAATTTTTATAAAAATGTCAAAAGAGGTCATTATTAACTAAAACATTAATATTTAACACAGTAGGAATTCAGATTCTGGATTAAGAACTATTAAATAAAAGCGAAATTTTGCTTGTTATGCGAAAAAGATGTTTATTTTAAAAATATTTTATAATTAAAATAAATATCGGCATTTTAATTTTCCATTTTTCAGAAAAATTTTTTGCATTGGTATTTATTAGAAACATGTACAATAAGTCACATAAGTATTTGAATGATTTTGAATTAAATATTCAATAATTTAGTATAAGATTATATTAAATTAACCTTAAATAAGTAAAGTGTTAATTTACATCATTTTTAAAATATTTTTATTCAAATATTAGATTTACATATATTAAGTTTTGTATATATTAAGTTGTATATGTTAAGTTTTATATATATTAAGTTTTAAAATATTTAACAATGTAAATAATGTTTACATTTCTTTGAAATATTAATTGTGTGTGCATGAATATAATAATAATATTGAAACAATTAAATAATAATTAAGTGGAAAAATTGACAGATAAGAGGCAAGGCATGAATATCGGTGTGCAAACTTATTATTGTTAAATTTTATTAACTAATGTGTATTAAAAATGTATGTTTTGGTAGTTTCTTTGTCCATCTTCAACATGGATATAAATATATAAAGATTAAATCAGAATTGTAAAACTAGACATATACGATATTTGCAATCGCAGTCAAATGTCAAATTAAAAATAATAATCAGAATAAAGGCTCACTAAAATCCGTGCGGAATCTGTACAAATAAGTGGACAGCGTCCAAACATCATCGCCACACGTGTATCGTCGGTGGATTAAAATAATATAATTTATATTATTTTTTTGGTTTACAATATAAATTATACAATATTATAATCCACCGACGATATACGTATGACGAAGGCATTTGGACGCTGTCCACTTATTTGTACATTCCACGCGGATTTTAGTGAGCCTACATTTTGCCTAGATAGCACAAGAAGACTAAAAGACATTTTAAAGATATCTAAAGAACGATAAGACGTCTTTAAGTCGTCTTTTAGGGACACGTGCTGTCTGGGTGATTATTATTTTTAATTTGAAATTTGATTGCAACTGCAAATGTTATGTATCTCAAGTTTTACAATTCCAGTTTAATCTTTATATATTTATATGCATGCTGAAGATGGAGCAAAAAACAGTCCGAAACGTACATTTTTAATGCACATTAGTTAATAATAGTAATAAATTCGCGCATCGATACTTGCGTCTTGGCTCTTATTTGCCAGTTTTTCCTCTTAATTGTTCTTACCTTGAGCCTATTGCTGTTATTATCGAATTAAATAAAAACAACATATTCGTTACATATTATGCAATTTTATAAGTTACTGTAATAAAACATTACATAATATTAGTATTGACACAATATTGGGTTACATTTTGTTCGTTTACATTATACGATGTATCTATTATGTATACATTTCCATCTGTTTGGACAACATTTTAATTTATCATATAATTTTTGCATTTCAGTTAACATATAAATTCTAAAACAATCTAATTGTCTCTATCCGATTTAAAGTTATGTTTATATCGGATCCTGTATATTGTTTTTCCTTACAAACGGTCTTCGACAGCATGTTATATTTGCGTTAGTTTTTTTCTAACCGTCAGACTGTTGACATCGATGTCGCCGAACATACATGCTACAAAAGATGTCCCCAGTCTTATTTTTCTAGTTATCGCGATTTAGAATCTATGTATTCTGTGTCTGCCGAAATAAGCAGTCGTCTCGATTACACTATTATACGAAATAAATCTCAGAAAACACCTCGTCTCGGTCTCGAATCACCTATTCTTTCGTTCTAATCTCGAATTGAATTTCAATATCACTAATGACCATCAGTTTCGCGTAATAATTGTATCTTGTATTCATTTTTTTCTCTTTCTAAATTTTATTACATTTATCTAGCCTAAATATATCAAATTTATTTTAATTTAAAAAAATGACACGTTTCTAAAATTTGTAAACATATGTTTTAGTAAAGTTTAATCATTTATTTCATTAATGTATTATTTCTTCTAAGGAATTCGATCAAGTTATTTTCACAGAGAATTTTCTAGCATAATAAATTTGATTGTCAACTATTTTACAGCAAGTCTTGAAGTCAAAATATTGATTTTTTTAAATATTTATTAACAAAGATTTATTCTTGATTTATTATGAAAAAATTGATAATGCCAGCAAGTCTTAAGTAGATAATTATTTACATTAACACATCTTTCCGATGAGCTTGATCATGATATATGTTGAAAAAAGAGGGTACTGAAAAAAACATTTTTTTAATGGCTTAATCGATAGTCTCATATTATATGTTAAAGCTCAAATAATTTTTAAATTATGTTGAGAGTATCTAAATAGAATATCTAAGTAGAGAAATTAGGTAAAAGAAAATTAGCCAATTCGCTCGAATACAAGCTCGCGGCGAGGAGGAACAACCCATTATATTTTATAAAAGTTATATTATATATATGCATATAACAATGTCGAATAAAATATGAATATTTCAAAGTACAATTATATATATAATCTTTCAATCGTATAAAAAGATTGATTAAAAATATGGCACTAAAATATTCAATTTCAAAAACAAAGTTGTTTAAATGCATTTCAAAAACATAAGAGATTTGAATGTACCGCGGACACTATCTTTCTAAGAATTAATGTAAAAATTATTCAAAATATTTGTGCTTATATTATAAAATACTGTTATAAATATTATACATATTATCAAAGCATCAAATATCAAAAATCATATATAAAGTATCAAGCTTTTACTTTTAGGTTCGTTATTTATGCCTTTTAAATAAAACTAAAGAAATATATAAAAATCTAAAAAAATTAAATAAAAAAAAATGTTTTTAAATAATTAAATTTCTAATTAATAAAAAAAAATTATCTCAGATCACAAATATATATCAATTTTTTGAAAAGAAAAGATATTTAGTACTTAAACAAATGTTGAGAAGAACGCAATTACTACTGATTTACAATAAGAGAAACAAAACATATAATTGTGATTTGCATTCTCGATTATTTTATATTATTACTAATAACGAATTATTGTCTAATAACGATTATTTGATTCTTATTGCGACTACATTTCCCTAAAAACTATAATTTTGCAGAAAGATATGTGCGGAAAGCTACAATGTAATATGCTTTTAAAGCTGCAAAATTGTTTGCCTTTTTTATAACGACAATGAAAAATGTGCAAGCAACAGAATTTTCCTTTTAATCCGACTTCTTCTTCAAACACTATTGGCTAAAATATGATTTTCGCAGATAGGAATCCATTTTAAGCTACAAATACATTAATCTGTAAAATTTTGTCGGAGTTGCATCGAGATACTGATTAAAATACGAACGTTTTACAATTTTTTAGAAACATTATCTCTCTTTCTTCCTTCTATTATCAAAATGACTGGAATTGAAAATTTTGCTTAAAATATGGTTTATTTTAAGAAAATTAGCTTAAAAAACTTGATCTTATCTCAAAGTTAAAATGTTTGGCAAACTTTTCTTGTAAGTTTATTGGTTGGACAAATAAACAAAATATTCTATATTATTTAGTATTTTATTTAATTTTCAATTTTGTTTGAGAAATATGACAAACCTGTTGCACCTATCCCATAAATATAAGAATGTATTCTTATGCATCTGACCTTTTTCTATCTTGCCAGGTTGTTGGTCCAAGTTAAGTTATAAACACCGACTGTAGTGAACGTCGTAGCAGACATTATCGATTTATCGCACGTGCCAGATACGCATTCTTGAATTGCTACCAAGAAACAGGGAGAAACAGAAAACGACATGGCAGGTCGAATGAAGGCATTGTACAATCAGGTATTACGTAGAATAAGAATCTATTTATGTGGGGATACACATATCATTTAAGTTTGATAGAGATCTTAAGCATTTAACTAAACGCTAGTATAATTAGCGAATATATTTTATGGTATTTTAAATTAAAACATCAATTAAAATTTGCGACAACAAATAGAGATCTACTTAGAAATTAATACACAATAATAAATGTTAATAACAGAAATACAAGATTTGAATATCAATAAATAAAATCTGAAACGTTAAAGCACTTAGAAAGTTATATTAATTTATGAAATTAAAATCTATATAAGGTTTATAGTATATCTATATATTTATACAGGCTTATGTATGAATTTCACAAAATCTCTAAAAAAAATATTGCAAATTTTAAAAAGGATTCCGGAATTATTTACCGATAGAATGCAATTTTCATAGTTTTAATTTATTTTTATATTAATTTTGCACAAATTTACGAACGTTTTTAAAATAAGATCTCCCTGGCTGCGTTTCGGTATTCACTGACAGTACTGGCAGCACTGTGTGTCCGTTCCGATATACACGGCAGTAGTAGCTTTCAAAGTTTTCGTGTTTATATATGACGTCATAAATTTTGTCGTCATTTCCTATTTTCACTACTACGGTTCGCGAGGTGAGTGCAGTCGCGGTAAAAACATGGCGGCACCCATAGAAGAGTTGTGTTTATAGACGTAGAGGACAACAATGAATATAAAGTAGTTGTAAGTGGTAAAGATGCGGGAAAAGCACAACGAGGTACCAATGCCATTAATATAATAATGAATAATTTCAATATTTTCATAAATGTGAAAAAACTATTATACTTATTTTATAGACTATGGCTTTTGCAACATTATTATTACAAGAGGCTGAAAAAAGGGACACTATGCAACCTGTGCTGTACAACCTACATTTCAAAGCATCACTAATTACTAATGAACGTAAATATCAGATAATAGGAGATACTAAATATAAATGCATATAAAATGAGTAATATCAACTATATTACTTTTAAGTATATATAGTGAATATAAAGATGAGTTTCATAACGGCAGATGTACTGTGAAACAATACTGGGAGAAAATAGCAAAGATTATGCAAGACAAAGGATATGATGTAACAGGCTTAAAATGCTCGACGAAATTTCAAGCCCTGAAACAAACATACAAAAGAATTATAGTAATAATTAAAGAATTATATAATCACAATAACAAAAGTGGTGATAACCCTAACAAAAGAGAATATTTTAAGGCATATTTTGCATATTTTTAAAACTTATTTTTAAGTAAAGACATATGCATGTTGTTATATATCTATACACTTAAAAATTTGATTATAAAATTTATATTTAATTATAGAAATAAATGTAGAAATTAAATATAACGTATTTCTCTCTCTCTCTCTCTCTTCCCCTCCCTCTCTTTGTCTCTCTGTCTCTCTTTCTCTCTCTCTCTCTCTTTGCTTCAGATTATGCAGGGATTATTTGCGGATAAGTCGTGGGTGTAACCATTGGCACTGGCTGGATCTGATGTTAATCAAATTGAAGAAGAAAAAGAAGAAAAAGACGATCCACCAGGAAAATGTAAGATTAAAATATACCTTGTATGTACATGTAAAGTAAATTTAATATAGGTGAACATTTTATGATTATAATTTCAGGTATTAAAAGAAAAAAATTTTAACACATTTATAGTGCAATATATAGCAAGTAATAAGGAAGAATAAAAGAAGAGAAGAGAGATTCGGGAAAAACAGCATAATGAAAGAATAGTTGCGTTTAAGCGGATTAAGAATTTAATACAAATATACTATTAGAAAAAAAAATAATTATGTTATATGGGATCAAAAAGAAAAAAATGAATAGAAGTTTTTATTTTATATTATAAAATTTGAAAATTAAAATATTATATTATATGATATACTGATGATAAGATTTTATTTTGGTTTTTGAATCATTTCTTTTTCTGTTTTATTGTTTTAATAAAAACGTAATATAGTTCATTACAGTTAAGTATTAGTATATTAAACAAAATTTATAGTATTTTTCTTTTAATTCATAGCATATGTATGGCTGTAATAAATGTAAACCAAAACAATATTTCCGATTAGTATTATGAAGTTGCAATAGATATATGTAAGGATATATATAAAACAAAAGAGTCAAAATATGGTGTGCAATATTTATGTCATAAATGTTCAATTATTTTAATAACAAATATAAATATACAAAAATAAAAATGATTGTATTTTTCTTTATATTTTCTGAGAATTCCAGTAAAAACATCTCGCGAACTCAGATACCATCATAATTTTTCACTGAATGACGTCACATCGTTACAATACTTACAATGAATACCGAAACGCCGTCTCTGTCTCTCGAATAAGCGTCGGACTCTCAAGATCTATTTGTCTATTGTTTTTCTTATCTAACAGATGCGGCTCGTCCGCATAAAAATTAAAATTTTTATGTTTCCTATTTTATCCTTTTTAGCCGCTTTGAAAGTAATTGTGATAAATTAATGAGATTTTTGCGGTTAACATGACATTAAACTAACATAATTTGAACAATTTTTGATAAAACACATAAACAAAATTTGTATTATGTATCTAATTATAAATTATCTAAATTATTTCGTGTTTGATGTTACATTAAACGCAACAATTTTATTAATCCATTACAATCAGTTTCAGAAAAATAAAATACAAAACAAAAATTTAAGTATTTTATAAAGTGTTTACATTCGTGAGTTAATATAGATAAAAGAAAGTCCTTATAAGGTATACTTTGGAATACTTAGAGAACAGAAAAAGATGACTAAATATTTTAAGAAAGTCACGAAAGTAAAACATTAAATATTAAAATAAGAAATATAGCTCAGATTGAGAAAAATAAATTTGACAAAAGAATATTAACAATATGAAGCAAGACGTGACAAAGGAAAAGGAAGTCACGGCCAAGTTCTCGGAAGCTGACAATAAGTAAGAGACAGACTAAACAAGCGGAGCACGATACATGCTCCAGTCAGGGTCACTACACTCACTCCTCTCAATCTAATTAATTAATATTTAAGCCAAACGCGAGATGAACCGGCGCTCATTATTTCTTATTATCATTCATTGCTCGCTATTGAATTATCGTACGTATCGCGCCCAATCACTGTAACTGCGAATCACGACAAGTGTATAAAGTGACGCACGCACGCACACACGTGTAGTATATATATATACACACACACATTTTTATATTGTAAATTATTACATAAAAAGATTATTTTAATTTATACTTTACATTCCCTTAATTAATTTTTTCATTTGATATAAATATATATTTGTGTCTTAACTTTTTTTTAAATCTATATTTACCGATTTTGTCCTAGATATTTCAAAAAATTTCTGAGATATTTCCGGGATGTTTTGTTTTATGTGAATTTACTCACAAATATCTATATCCGTTTAAAGTAAGAGAAATATATAAATATTGTACTAATATTTCTGCTAGGTTATTTTTGAAAGACGACTCCTTCTGGGTTGTACTGCTCTTGTGGGACTGTCGTTATGCATATGGTCCGTGGCTATAGGAACTGATCATTGGTTTGCAGTAAAATCACCTGATGATCAAGGTTTACCTCTGGGAGGTGATAAAGTTGGCAGAAGATTGATTTATAAACACACGGGTCTCTGGAGAAGCTGTATCACGGGATTGATGCCCGTATCGGAAAACTCTACGAACTTAACGCAATATAGTGAGTATGACTTAGTTTTTCACAAAACATAAATAACAAAAAAATTTTTTTTTAGATGATTAAAATTATCTTAGTTTTGTAAATATAAATTTATATAATTATATGATATTTTATATAATTAATATTTTCGCTTCAAAGTGCAAGATTCTTCGTCCTAATTAATCCTTCGAAGTGAAAATAGTGTCAAACGAAATGTACCCTTCATTGCACTTTATACAACTATACTTTTAGAAGAAATTTCAGAATTGACTAAATATCATTAATATTGTTATGTAAAAAATTTCTATTATCTACAGAAACTTGATCTGTAATAATTTTATTAATGAAATCTATTGTATAACAATGATGGAATTAATCAAACTTGCGAAACATTAAGTACAACAAAATTTATTTTAAAAGTATAGTAGTATATAAAATGCAATGAAGGATGCATTTTGTTTAACATTAGTTTCACTTCGAAAGATTAATTAGGACGAAGAATCTTAATTGTACTTTGAAGCAAAACTAAAAAAAACTAGCTTTAAACATACTTCGAGCATATTTCAAGTGCAATATCATGGATATATTTGATGATATTGATCATCAAAGGCAATCAAAGTTTGGAAAGTAAATGCAGTGCGTGATCGTGGCTCGCGAGTATTTTGAAATAGAATAGACTTCTTCTTCTTCTTTTTCTTTTTCTTTTTCTTCTTTATGATTCTGATTACGCTTCTATATAGAATTTGTCTATACGTCAGTCGGTGATATAAAATAGAATAGATACTTTTGAAACATAATATATAACACGGTAGTCATAAATGTACCTCTAAATTAAAGGCACTATAAATGTGCGATGAGAATATGACTGACTTTAATCGTGTAGTACATTTATCTGCACCTCTGAATGTGGCGCTATAAATGTGCCGATAAATTTGAGCTCAGAATAAGGGCAATAGTATTAATCTTTTCAAAACGTGTGCGCATAGTTACGAGTACTTTAAATCATCAGATATCGATAACAGCTAGCTCAAATGAATTCTTACTAAGTTTCTACTAGATTTTTACTTAAATGATAGCTTGAGAAATTTTGAATTTTATAAAATGTTTTAATTATTATTCTACATATATCATATGAACGGGAATACTGCAATATAACGCGAAGTCCCAATACAAAAATTTTCTCTTAGGAGAATCCCGGAGTGACGGCTGAACTTCAACATTTTGCCTACAAAGTGCTTTTTTTTATTTTTCTACAATTTTTTTTGGCCGAGTTACACAATTTTGAAACTAAATCTGTATTTTTTAGAAATAATGCCGATATTCGGCGAAAAATGTTTGCAGATAAAAAAGCTATCGGTAACACGTTAAAGTTGGAATTTCAAGCTTCAAAATGCTAGTCTACAATGACGTTTTGTCGATATTCGACAAAACATCATTTCTAAAAAATAATACATTTAATAAACTTATTAACAGTTTGTGTATATATTATTATTTTTCAGAGGAATGCGAGTATATGAATATGTTTCCGACAGAAATACAAATAGAATTAGATCCAAGTTTGAATTTGATAGTACTGAGTAAGTATACCTAATTAATCCACATAATTTGGAAATTAATATATTTATAAAGAGAGAGAGAGAGAGAGAGAGAGAGAGAGAGAGATTTGTAATTATATGCATATAATTACAAAATATTATACAAAATATTATATATGATTGAATTGTATGAGCTATATCATTGTATGCTATATTATCAGTGCATTTATTTCATTGAACGCCATAAGTAAAATAGCATAAAAGTGCATTTGCTGTTTTTAACAGATTAAGTTATTTCATAAAACTGCATGTACACGAATTATCTTGCACACATAAAAGCATACACAAGTTATCTTGTATAAAAGCATATGTGTACTATATGTGTAATCCTATTGTATGCGATCTAAATATGTATTCACAGTCTAGCTTGATCAATTTATGTATTTTCAGATTACGCCAAGACTCAAGTCTCATTTGCTTTAATCAGCCTTTTCATAATGGTGATGGGTTTTTTCTTTTCAATTTACACATTTCTAAATCCACGTTATATGTTTAAGCGTCTTGCTGGAGGAATACACTTCATAACTGGTAATTAGCATTACATAATAATTATATCCGTATAATAAGTTTTTAATCTGCAATAAGTTTTTAATCCAATTCCGCATTTATAACTTAAATAATAATTATATAAAAAATATGAGATGGTTATTCCGAAATATCGCGTGGATTGTCCGTGGTCATATTGTTATTGTATTATCAGCAATTATCTAATTGTAACTGCAATGACGAAAAGCGCATTGATTTCTCACTTTATCATTTATTAATATAATTTTCTCTTAGAAATATTTTCATCGATTAAAAATAGTTGTTCAGGCAAATGCTTGTTGGCTTCTTTAATTAAAGTAAATATGTGTGTGTTGTTCTCCTTTCAATTATTTTTTTACAATTTTAAATTTAGATGAATATTATACGAGGCGCGGCTATTAAATAACCGGACTAAAGCTGTATAAAATAAAACAACAATCATAATGGCAAAATTAATTTGTTTTGTTCAAAAATTATATCCTTTCGGTATCAATACAGTCGAGCACAGTCAAACATTGAATGGATTGATTTCTGGAAGCTCTCTTTCAGAATTATTTCAAGCACCCTCGCCAAAACCGCTTTGAGCGCCTTAGAATGCTATCGTAGTGAATTCTTTTAATTGGAATTCTCAAAATGGATTTTTGGAAACAAGATGCCAAATCCGGCGAATATGGCAGATAATCAAACACTACACGAATGTTCGAAGCGAGTAATTTCTTAGTCATTTATTAGCGCATGCGACACAAACCGAGAACAGATCTTCTGTTTGTTTAAATCTTTGTATAAAATGTTGCGGATCATATCTTTAGAGATATTCCGATTCTACCACTAACATTCTCACATTTTTGCATCAATTTTCAGTAATTTGCACATTTTTTTTGACGGGACCCGATTTCGAAGCTGTTTTCGAACGCCTTGATTGTTCGTTGTCTCCCACATTTTTTCAACCATTCCTAAATATCTTTCAAATCATTCAAAAACTTATGTACACAATAGGCAATCATTCTGAAAAACCTATCAACATTTATATTTACATTACGTTTTACGTTTGTATCATGTTTTCCCAAGTTTCACACAATATTTGATATTCACTCTTTGTTTCATTATGTTTTCGCGGCGACATCAAATTTTTACTGACTCTTTCAATCGATATATTTCATGATGCGTACATCCGATAATAATGAAATTTTTACAGTTGATAAATCTGACTTGAAGCTTTAAACAAGCACTTGTTGATAGTTGGCACTCACACAAAAAATAAAAAAATCAATCCGGTTTTTTAATAGCCGTACCATGTATATCTTCATCCAACATGTATATCTTCATCTAAGAGACATTGGCCCGTATTCTGAGCAGCACATTATAGACCTTTTAAAGGCGTAGATAAATTTCCTAGTAACACGACTAAAGTCAGTCATATTTGTGGTTATAATGTCCACCAGTTAAAGAACAGATGTTCAGTAATAAATTTACTTTATTAAAAATATGTATAACAAATGTAAAGTTTTCTACTCCTTGACTAGATGTATTGGCTTCTGCATAGACGATGCGGCAACGCTTGCCGTGCAGCAAAAGGCCACGCCAATCAATCTATCTCTCTTATGGAAAAGTTGTAAGTTGATTGCGTTGCTTTTTGCCGCGCAGCCAAAATGGTGCCGCGTTCTGTGTGCTGGGTATCGATTCTGTAATTCAAGTGAGGGCAAAAATTACGAAAATGAGCGAATTTATTAGGTTTGAATTTATTAGGTTTCAATAAAGTTATAAATTTTCTAATAAATTTGCTCATTTTTGTAATTTTCATCCTCACTTGAATTACAGAATCGATACCCAGCACACAGAACGCGGCACCATTTTGGCTGCGCGGCAAAAATGCACGCTGGTGTCTGGAACTTGTTCAAATGGTAATCTGTGCGATGATTGATTTATCCTAAGGAGCAGCTGTTAGCTAAGAGGTACATTTATGACTCAAATGTTGTATATCATGCGTATTGCGTGTTTATGGCGGCATTCTAATTGATCATCGAGTGGTCAATTACGACTTACGTGCCATAACTTATTGTTATATTTGAAAACCTTTCTTTGCTTCGTCTTTCGACGCGACTGCAATACAAAACGCAAAGCAAGTATATAAAATACGATAATTATATTAAAAATGTTGATATAAAAAGATATAATTTAATTATAATTTATTATATATATTATACACTTTTTCACAAAAAAATTGAAGCACCCCGAAGAAACCATCGGATCTGAATGAAACTTGAGATTTATTATTGGGGTGTATTAAAATATTGTATATATAAATTACAGTATCAAATCAATACACAAGTTTATTGCAGTATAATTACATATATTAAGGTAAATCAAAAAGTAAAGGGACTTTTTTATTTGCCCGAACAGGTGGCTGGCAATGATTTCTTTATGATTTATCATAACTTCAAGTGTATTTGTCCGGAATGGTAGTTTGTTGTGTAGTTCTTTTTTATTGTGATTTTATGTCAATTTAAAATGAATGCTCCATTATTCAACAGCACCAAAGAAGAAATGCGAGCAGTGATAGGTTTTCTTTACTCAGAGAGAGTGAAACCTGTAGAGATTATTCGCAGAATGCAGTAACAATATATCGTCAAGAAATAGAAATAGCGTCGATTTGGAGCAGCAACTTCATTGCATTTGGCATAATATGTCAAGGAATAACATGATACCTTTATTCGAAACCAATCTACGCCGTGCATCAGCCTGCATCGCAGCCAGAGATGATTTTACAATGTACTAATGAGTACTAATTACATGTAACTATACTGTAATAAATTTATGTATTGCTTTAAAACTGTAATCAATATTTTAGATTAATACCCCAATACTACATCTCAAGTTTCATTCAGATCAGACGGTTTCCTCGTGACTCTTCGATTTAAGATGGCAGAGAAATAGACAAAGCGTGAGAATTCGCAGAAAAAAAAATATAACCGTATAATTTGTAAAAAACTATTGCACACTAATAGAAGATAAAAGTGGCAATGCAAAAATGCAAATAGTACACAAAAAAGCAGAAATGAAAGGATTTAGCAAAACATATAAAAGCGTTGGCTCCACGAAATTGGCTGACAAAGTTAAACAAAACCGAAAGTAACGTGCCAATGTTTGAAAGTAATGGCAAAGAAAAATGTTACAGCATACAACAAATATTTGAGAAGCATTAGCAGTAGACCATCCATTCTTATGTGTTCGGATATGGATTACAACGTTGCTAAAATTTATTCCAAGAATTTTGGTATGGATAAAAACGTCTACGACACTGTGATGGCCAATTAAATTTTATATAAAAAATTATAAGCTATAAAAATTTGTGTATGTATGTGTGCGCGCGTGTATGTTTATGTATATGTATTATATATCTACTGACTCGTGCGTGTATATGCATTTATATATGTAAATTTTGTATTTTGTAATTTTGTATATTTGTACTATAATAGAGCATATATGTAAATATTTTTTTTAAATTTAATTTGTTTAATTCTTATTATGTATATATTTAGAGACGCAGGGTTCAATTGAATACCAATCAATATTAAGATAATAAATTAATATTGGATTCTGTGACTGGGAGGTAAAATTTACAAAAAATATTTTTTAATATTATATAAACTTTGATATAAAATAAGCAAAATAATTTTTATTATTTTAAGCACATAATATTATTTTTTTAAAGAGAACGTTTATACTTTTGAAGGAAGCCAATCTGCAGTCAACAAGGGATATATCTGCCATCCTGAAGAGCCCATTGCAGGACCTTCTTTTTTGGTCAACCCATTAGAAGACGAATCTGATAAGCTTGTATCAAAGAGATTTGTTGGAGTAAGAAATTAGTTTGATCAATGCGCCCTTTAACAGAGCTGGAAACACACTTGTTTTATTTTCGTAGACCGCGCCATGCTTTGGATGTTCTGATTTGCGATTCGCCCTAGCATGGCGCTGCTTTGTGCACGATTTCTTCTTTTGTTTTCTTCTTCTTGCTCTCCCTGTTTATCTGTACACGCGCATTGTATTGCTCTCTGTGATATTTAGATTCAAATAAATATATCATTTCTTATAGTGTATAAAGGTATGCTCTGTGAATCCTAATTTAACAGAGATAAAAAAAAAATTATTTTATACGAGGAGGCTCTGGTGGAAGTTCAGAAGAAAAAGCATGAGAAAGCCATATGGAGCTTATGAAACTAGAACATGAAGCAAAGATACAATCTAGATACAGAACAGAACAAAAATTAAAATAAGAATTACATAAACTACAAATAAAAGAATTTTAAATTTAAAAATATCAACTCAACAAATATCGACGATAACTCAAAATTAAAATTCAAAATTTATTAAAAATGATTATTACAAAATCTAATGCTTCATGGTCGATTTGTTGCAAAACTTTCTTTTCAAAGAGAAAAATATTTTTCCTTGCTGTCACTTCTACTGTAAAAACTTCTATTTATTTTTCTATTTCTATTTTTTGACATATTTCTAATGTATTGTCACTTTATAATTATAGAAACTCGATGTGTATCATTTTTATTAATAAAATCGGGGAGGCTCCGTTTGCCTAATTTCCCGATTGCCAACGGCTTCGTTTGTCCATATTTTGCCGACAGCTTAATTTGCAATATTTCCGATTGCCTACAGAGCGATTGTCTACAAGCATTATTGTGCACATGTAATAATTAAAAATATGAACATACGTTTGCACACATGATTTTATTACGCACAAACACATTGCACACGTGACTTCATTGCACATATGTAGATTGCGCACATGATATTATTGCGCACATTGCACACATCCAGTCCACTCAGAGCATCGCTACATTTATCGTATCATTTAAGGCACTTTTATCGGCACATTTAGCGATAAATATGAGTTCAGAATACGGACCATTTTATGTCCTATGACTTTTGTGTAAAACATTTTTTTCTAAAATTCATGGTGTTTGAAATGTCAGAATATTCTGTTCCTTTTTCTTCACTCTATATATGTGAAGAAAAATATATATGTATGAATGTATGTGGGTGAATATGTGTACACAACACACGCGTTTTATATGTATATATATATTCACTTTGCATAAATATGTGAAATCCACATAAAAAAAGTAAAAAACGCCACATATATCTTTCTCTCCAGCCAAGATAACAATTCTTTACAAAAATAGAATCTTTACAAAAACAAAATTTTTTTAGCAAGAAAGCACTTTTTTAAAAATATTATATTGAAAATATTATACGAACATGGCATTGAAAATATGCATAAATTAATGAAAAAATACTGAATTCATAAAAGCAACCAAATATTAAAATTGTTATTAAAAAAATCATAATTTAAAATAACAGTTTTTTATGAAAATGGCATTAAAAAAGAGAGAATTATAAGTTAATAGCATGAAAAAGTGCTGAAATCACTTCAAAGTTCAAGCATGTTGAAAACTTTACAAAAATGGTATTAGAAAAATATGTTAACCAAAATAACAATCTTTTTTACAAATGGAATTAAAAAAATAGATTTAAGAAAAAAACAAATACATAATAAATGTTTAATTTTCTTTTTTCTTTTTCTTTTTGCTAGCGAACAATAAGTTGTGGCAGAAGTAATTTTATTTTTAATAATATATAATATAATTTTAAATAATAATTTTAAGCATACTTGGTCACTCTTATGACTTCAATACTTTTTCACGCTATTAATTTGTATGTATATATTTCCTGATGCTATTAAAAAAAAAATTTTTTTTTTGTTAAAGAAATTTTATTTTTGTAAAGATGTATATATGTATATATATATATGTAAATATATAAAACTTTAATTAATTTTGCGCTTTTCTTCATTCTTTTTCTAGCCGCTTGCAACATGGTGGTGATACAAGTGCTGCTTTCTTCAATCGAGTATGAAAGTAAACATGTCTCCGCAACCTTTCCAAAGGGTGCATTGATGAAATATGATTATTCGCTTATTCTTGCATGGATCGTGTTTATGTGCAATCTTATGTCTGGCCTCGTCTTCATGCTTTTCTCAAGGAAGAGAAAGAGAGATAAAGCACCTACGGAAGAAATAGCTATGGCTGATGAGCCAACAATAATCGGACGTTAAATTTTTCTTGTTACTGTTATTGTCATTAATTTTATTCTTATTGTTATTCATTAAAACTAAAAGATTTGAGCGTGAATTATAAATAATGCTAGCTATGTGAATATGCCTATAACTAATTTTTATATTTTTCTTCCTTATGACGAACTGATGAAAAAACAGAGCTATTGTACATAATATTAGAAAAAGTGTAATGAATAAATTTACACATACACTAATTAATATAACAAGAAACTTTGAAGAATTTTTATTTTGTGCAAAAAAAAATGTAGAAAATTATGATCGAGTAACTATGTACATACATTTATAAATATATATACAAGGTGTATATAAAGGGACAACCAAATATTTTGTAAATATTAAAAAAGGTGCTTTAAACAAAAATTGTAACGTTTCAAGTGATGCATAATAGTATTGTCTTGATCTTGGGTTACTTTAAAGATTCAGTAAAAATTATTTAGAATTTTTTTAATAGAAACTCCCATTTTTTATATTCTATCTGATGGTCAAAACGATATGTATCATATTATAGCATATTTCAAAATAATATAATTAAACTCTCTTTTGTTAAGAACTTTCTAAGTTATGAACTGCAAAGTTACGATACCTTCCGCCGGAGAAAATGAGGGTGACTCGAGATATGTCATATAAAGATACTGTACGATTAGATTTATTTTTAATACTCTTTGTGGATATATGTGTGCGTGTATGCATGCATACACGCGTATGTAGGATGTCAAAGATCTTCGGAACTTTGTAGTTCATCACTTCTACAGTATTTAATGACTCCAAACTTTCCATCTATCATGCAGAGATCAAAACTCCGTAATTTGTTAATTCTACAATATATATTTAATGACTCCATTTCTCCACAAATATGTCTATGTACGAAGTGTGATCAAAAAATACCGTGAATGCCGCTCCAGCGCGTCATATAATTGAAAGAGGGGAGGAAAACTTACATAGTGAGATCTAATTTAGAATTCTCATTACAATACAGTAGAACCTCAAAATAGTGCACTGTACGGGGCTTTGGCACGCTATAACGAGGTTATTCCCGTCAAATTCAGAGCCATAGCGGCCTGCGAGATTTGCATGAACACGTTCTTTCAAGTACATCATCGCTGGAAAAGGATACTTTTTTCTTATTCTTGATATAAAAATATTAAGCATTAATTGCTTCAGCCTTTTGCACGAGAAATTGGGATACTTTTTATTTGTAAATATTGTAGAGTTTATAAAAATGTTAGCATTTCTTCACTAATTTGCATTTAAATGAGAAAGGGTAAAAGAGCAATTTTTACTTCATCTTAAAGTAACAATTACACTTTGATCATGGATATTAATAAAAAAAACAATTAATGCATTTTAAAGTGCCGATTTTTCTTTTTAAATTGCTTTTTTAATCATCATTGTGCGATAACTTTTTCACTAGTTATGGACGTTCAAAGTCAATAGATTGATTTTACTTCAGTAGTAAATAATTCGGCGAAAAAAAAACATAGGACATTTATAAAAAAGCAAATTAAAGATATATTAATAAAAAAAACAATTAATGCATTTTAAAGTGCCGACTTTTCTCTTTAAACTACTTTTTTAATCATCATTGCGCGATAATTTTTTCACTAGTTATGAACGTTCAAAGTCAATAGATTGATTTTACTTCAGTAGTAAATAATTCGGCAAAAAAAATCATAGGACATTTATTAAAAAAGCAAATTAAAGATAAAACTCTGCTCTTTAAAATCCAATTAACGAAATTGTGCTACAATTTTTTTTTCTTCGGCTCTTTTTGACAAACTTTTGAAAAATTTGTTCAATTGACGGACGTCGCTTTTTCATAATGTAATTTCGTAACAAATAAAAAGAATTAAACTCGACTAAAAGATTCTGAAACTAGAAACTTCAAGCTTTATAACGCTTTTTTATTGATCTCAATCCGATTATATGCGACGAAGTTGCAGCCACATGAAAATTGTCTTTTCTGTAGAAGGAAGAAAGTGACCCTTTAATTTTTTTGCGTAGTGTATAACTACGGTATCTCTCTTAGTTTGACTCTTCCCTCTCAACCTGTCCGGCATGGGTGATCCTATCAGTAACTACGTTACCACCGGCGTAGCTCTTAGGTTCATTAGAGTACTCAAATCTCCTCACCCAGTAAACACCTTCGACGTTTATTGTCGCGATATATATGGTTACATATTATTTATGAACGTTAATTACTCATTAATAATATTAATAATATGAAATTAAACAAATCTTAAAATATGTAGCACTTTTTAAAGCAGGAAGGAGTATTGTAATAAAGAATAATGGTTCTGCAAAAGCGTTTAATTTAAATCGATTATTCGGGCAGATGTTTTATGATGGTCACCAATCACAAATACCGAGGGGCTATTCATTCAGGAAATCATTGAAGCACTCCGGTATAAAATCAAAATCAAAATCGCGAGAAATCGGTTAAAATTAGAAAAAAATCTTTCGAAATCGAAGTCACGAAAATATCATTGAAATAATTTAAAATCAGAATGAAATCTCTGAACTTTTGAAATCAGTATGAAATTACGTAGAATCAGAATTGATTTCAGAAATCACTGATCGGATCATATGAAATCACATTAAATCACATGGTTTTCTAACTGCTTGAAATATTCATAAAATCGAGAAAATCATTTAAAATCGACTTTAATCTGAAATCACTTGTTTATCGCACGTACTAGTGCGTAGCCCCTCGACAAATACGCAAGCGCGTTTTGTATCGCTCGATTAGAACCGCATGATACAAACATTTCAGTCCGTCAAGAACGATGTGCACGAATAGTAGGCCCTCAATATATAT